AATAATAATAATTCAAATAGTTCAGAAAGTTATAGAAAAAATAAAGATTTCTCTGCCTCTTCCACTACCAGTGCTACTCCACCATAAGCAGTTTCTTATGTGTCCTTTCAGAAACTAAACACGCACACAAGAACATCACATACACACCATTCAGTCCCTTTCCGTATCAGTACATACAAACCCACTTCATTTCTTTAAACTTCTGCAAAGTATAGATATGCCACAATTTATTTAAATAGGCTTACTGATGAACATCTGTTTCTATGATTTTATGTGATTATAGGTTTCAACCTTATTTTACCTAATTTCTCAGCAGTATTTGACCTTGTTGACCCTGCATTCTTTCTTGAAATAGGATCTTCTTTTGGCTTTTGTAATACCATGATCTTTTTCTTCCTATCTCTCAAGATAACTTCTAGGCATGCTTCCTGTGGTGTTCCCTGGAATTCTTTCCTATGCTTTTTTCTTACTGCTTGTCATATTTTTTCATTTATGTTATGTATGTAACTAGATAAACATATAGTAACCCTATGTTTAACATTTCAAGGAACTGCCAGGCTGTTTTCCAAAGTGTCTGCACCATTTTATAACCCTACCAGCAATTTAAGAGCATTCCAATTTGTCTATTCCAACATTTCTTGTCCTTGCTAATACTTGTAATTATCTGTATTTTTATGATAGCCCTTCTCGTGGATGTACAGTGATTTGGGGCAGTGCTTTTGATAGCATTTGTTTCATGTTTCTTGAAACCAACCTCTAGCTCCATCATGGTATATTACTAAACAACTCAGGGAGTCAGTCATTGATAACTGCAGAGGGGTAAATCTTGCCGAGCAGTGTTCCACAAACTATTGTATAACATGCATACAAATCACCTGGGATTCTTGTGAAAATGAAGATTCTGATTTCGCAGATCTGGGGTAGGGACCAAAGTGCTTCATGTCCAGCAAGCTTCCAGATGATGCTGGTGCTACCGATTAGTGAACAATACTTTGAGTAGCAAGACTCTGGGTTACTGTTTGGACAAAGAGACTCTTATTTT